CCCTTCTTAAATCTGTTCTCCCAGAGGCACTACCACTGTCGCTGATGGGCTCAGCCTTGGGCAGAGGTGGGTCCGACTTGGAGCTGGCTGGCCTTGGCTCTGTCAGACATAGTGGAAGCTTCTGGCAGCTTCTCACAGAAGCCACCCCTGCACCCCCCCACTACCAAAACCTTGCCACACAAACCCAATACAGTACTGCAGGGGTTTTGCCAGGGCAGCCCACCGCCTCTCCCTGGAATTAGTATATTCCATACTTTTGGTATTTGCTGGTAGCCCATGGTTCTGGTTTCATCACTGCAGTGTCCAGTCCTGGACAAACAGATGATGAATGAGAGATGCTGCTGGTTCTCTCCTCCTATCAGGAACTCCAGTCTTGACTTTATCTTGGCCTTGGGTAAGACCCTGCCAAGATTAATGTTTGAAGCAGTTTGTTCCAGCCAAGTGACTCAGAGTGGGTGTGGCGTGTCTGTGCTGTTCAGGTCTCCTGCTCGCAGCCTGTAAGATTTAACTTCACCACAGGGGAAAATCAGCGCTGCTGCTGGATTCTGGATGCAGCTCAGGAATGACATGGCCCGTCCTCACTCCTGGGACAGGGCTGGAGCGGCTGCACAGCACTGCAGCGTGGGAGGGAGGCAGGGTGTCTCACACACGGGTGTCGAGACAAACAGCAGTGGAGCCCTGGAGTGGGAGGCCAGTGTGACACACCCCTGTCCCCAGGGAGTCAGGCAGAGAATTTTGGTTTAAGCTTTTGGTAACGGTTTTCCATGGAGACTCTCCCCAGGGGCACCGCCAGCTGTGACACACTCTCCCCAACCAGATGGGCAGGAGAATCATGTCCGTGTCCTCTGGTCCCCCTCCGCGTGGTGGCTGTTGCAGGGCTGTGCTCCAGCCCAGTGACACCATCAGACGGGCCACAGCAGACCTCGCCTCTGGAGCGAGGCCGTCCGCTGCCGTCAGAGAGTCCACCCCAGGCTGCTTCCCTTCGGCGGTGCTGATGTGTGCTTTGGTCACAGGTTGGAAATACCGGGGGAAAAAAAAAAAGAACGTGCGATGATTATTTCTGGCAAACGGAAGAGATGCGCTGTCCGCCGTTAGAGGCTCGTTAGAAAACGGGGCACCCGGGAACAGGGTGGTGAGATGGCTGCGTCCGGCCTGAGGCCTCCCAACACCTCTGAAACTTCTCCTGCTCCTGTCTGTTGTGTCTCCGAAACCTCTCCCGCTCCCGCCCGTCGTGTCTCCGAAACCTCTCCCGCTCCCGCCCGTCGTGTCTCCGGCCTGTACATGTTCTGTGCCGGCGAGAAGCGCCCGTTGACCGTACCCCCGGGGGTCGAAAGCCCGTGGTGAGGTA